CCCCCCCGCGAACCAGGCTTCCTCTCTACGGACCAGTGGCAGCTGATTCAGAGCTTCAACGGCTCGATGCGGGCTGTACAAATGGAGGGTTGTAGCCGCTGCCGCGAACGGTGGTTTGCGATGGCTCTGAAGGATACCGTGTGCCACAAGTGCTACTTACGAGATCCTAAAGATTGTAGACCGTGTCTCATGTCTGCAGACAATATGCTGAACCCAGGGCCTGTTACGGACGCCCTCCCAGAGCTAACACAAGTAGAAGAGATGATCATCGCCCGTTCGCACGTCCAGATGGTCCTCTTTCGGTACCGCGGGCACCAGTATCACTATTCGGGTCACTGTGTAAGTTTTATACAGAATACAGTCAAGACGGTAACAGTCATCACTAACCTCCCCGCGGATCTAGATATTGTTCTTGTCCGCCCACCAGATACGGCCCAGAATCTTAAGTATATCTCTCCTTAACGTGCTCTTACGGACCGCATTAACCTATACAGGTATCAACGCCAGTTCAAGGCAGATTTTCGGGTCCGTAAACGTCACGTCTTAACATGGCTCTATTACCTCCAAGCACACCATCCCGACTACCGTTATATCACCCTCTCGTACACCCGCATAGAGTCGCTCCCAGACGATGGAGACGTGTCGGACGCATTTCCTACGATTATCGACCCTACTACCCCCCCCTACGGATCCCGTCGATGATGCTACGGATAGAGCGGCGCCTGATACGGACCCTTTACCGCCTGTCAACACCCAGTCTATGGTCCCCAATCTCCACATTACGACGACCGAGGCGGACTTGATCCGTGGTGAGCTTACGGGCCGTAACGCGCAACCTCAAGGAATCCCCGCCCCGTCCATCCGTACAACGCCGTTAGACGAGGCGTCAGGGAACGAGCGGATCTTCACGATGGCCTTCCCCACGCTCTATCCTACGGGCCGCGCAGACTTCAACAGCCCCCGTGTACGGTCCGTATCCCTTAGCGACTACGACCGTCACCTCCTCTGCTATCACGACGGCCGTTTCGGACGCCATCCATGGTGGCGGTTCTTGGTTTTTAACATCCTGATGCGGCGGAATGCAGCGAGCGCAGCCCGTTTCTACGTGTCTAAAGCGTCCGGCTTGAAAGATCTCACCCGCGAAGAGCTTGCGGCCGCGTTGCAGGATGATACGCAGCTCGTCGATCAGATCGTCCGTCGAGGGTCCGATTTAACAGGCACTCGCCCGTTTTGGCGTAACAAGAGCAATAGCTTAACCGCGCAGGCCCGTTTCCTCTCGCAAGATACGTCCCCAGTTTTTGTCACTTTTAGCGCAGCAGATATACAGTGGCAAGATCTCCACCGCCACTTTACGGGCTGGGAAGGCGTAGTAGGTGCTACCGATACGGTCCGTTACCAGTTTATCTGGAAAGGGATTCAAGACAACCCGCATATCGTGGCACACTACCTCCAGATCCGTTTCCGGACGTTTGTACAGACAGTGTTACGGCCGCTCCTGAAGTTTACGGATCATTGGGACCGTTTTGAGTGGCAGGCGCGTGGGTCAGGCCACCTCCACTGCCTGCTGTGGATCCCACCCGCGCCCTCTCTCGATCAAGAGTCAGATACGGCCCGCGAAGCCTTCGCTGGGTATTGGGGCGAGCTGATTACAGCTTGGAATCCCGACCCGTTACGGCGCCCTGACCTCCGTAATCCAGCATCGCTGCACCCTACGGACGTCGCGAATACTTCTGATCAATTCAAGGCCTTGGTGAACCGGCTCCAGAAGCACTCCAATTGTACTACGAGCTACTGTCTACGGACGAATAAAGAGACGAAGCAGTCGAGTTGCCGGTTCTTCTTTCCGCGGCCTCTCTTCGCGGGTGCGACGATCACCCGTGCCATTAATCCGAAGGCGTGGCTGTTCTCGCCGGCCCGTAACGACCAGTTTTTGAATCAGTGCGCTCCCGCAATCACTATGGGTTTGTGGATAACGTCCGTAAAGAGTATATAGCTAACATATCTAAGGCTGGCTTGCGAATACAGATATCCAACCGCCGACGAGCCTCCACGCCGTCCTGTCGTATATCGAGAAGTACGTCTCAAAGCCCGAAAAGTCGTCCGTATCGTACGTAGAACTTCAAGCTCAAGTGTTACCGTACGTCCACGACCGTGTACCCTTGCTGTCGTTCGCGTCCAAGATCTTAAATAAGCTTATTGGAGAGCGTGACTGGTCGGCACAAGAAGTGTGCCATATCCTCCTCCAAGTTCCCGTCCAAGATTCGTCGCGGATGCTCGTAAGCCTCGACTGTCGTCCGCCAAAGGAGCAGCAAGAGCTCATTATCCTAGAGTCGGGGAGCGTAACGGCTGGCCGTTCTGTCTTACGGAGGTACTGTGACCGCCTTACGGACGCCCCGGTTAGTCGAGCTCTCTTAACCCTCTCTCTGCACGAGTGGTTACGGACGTGGGACTGGGCACAGTGGAGGCCGCGCCCGCGAGCCCAGCCGCGCGTGATCAACTACTACCCACGGTACTCAAGCGATCCAACCGCTCCGTCCTATACGGACCACTGCCGGGTGAAGCTCATGCTCCACCACCCGTTTGTCGTGTGCGAGGACTTACTTACGGTCGACGGAATCGAGTACGGGTCGTTTACGGACGCGTTTTATATCTGTCGTACGTCTCATAACCACCCGTTAGACTTCTATACAGATCCGCCACGAGCGGGCGACCACGTAAGCGAGGAAGAGAGCGAGGAAGAAGAACGAGACACGGATGGAATAGAGCAACCCCTTGCGGACTTTGAAGCGTTTGCTCGCCGGCGGCCAGGCCGCGAACTAGACTTTACGGACCCGTTAGATACGTTAGGCGCCCGCGAGTTCGACCGTTCGTATGACTGGTCCATTCATAGCGGCCGTTGGATTGTTGTACCGGAAGTGTGGAATCAAATGAAAGCCGATCACTTAATTACGCAAGCCGTAATAGTCGATTCGTGTCCGTTGCCGCTAAACCACGAGCAGAGGAAGCTATGCGACACTGTAGTGAACCACTATACGGCTGAGTTGAGCCGTCACGGACCGTTGCCCCCCCCCTTGCTACTGAACGTCGACGGTGTAGCTGGTTCGGGCAAGACGTTTACTCTTTTAAAAGCTTGTGCCCGCTTACAAGAACTTGCCACAGACGCCGGACTCTCTAATCCAGTCTTACGGGCCGCTCCTACAGATATTGCGGCCTTCAATTTCACCAGCAAGACACTCCATAGCTTATTACGGCTACCCGTAAAAGGGAAAACGGCCAACTTATCGGCCGGGACCCTCCAAGCCTTACAAGCTCTCTTCGCCGCCTGTCGGTTCCTTATTATCGACGAGAAGTCCATGATCGATCTAAAGATGCTCTCTTTAATCGATACTCGTCTACGGGCGATCTATCCGTACAACGATCAGCCGTTCGGCGGGGTGAGTATCTTACTTTGCGGGGACTTTTACCAGCTGCCACCCGTTGGCGGGCACCCGTTATACTCTTGACGGCCGCAACATATCGACGCAATTAGAGGATCGTGCTTATACCAGGCGTTCGATCAAACGGTCCGTTTAGTAGACGTGATGCGGCAACAAGGAGAAGACGATATCGCAGTTCGTTTTCGAGCCGCGCTAAGTCAGTTACGGACCGCAACCCTCTCGCAAGCGAGCTGGGAACTACTTTGTACCCGTACGGCTAATCAGCTCTCTCCGGACGAGGTTTGCGGATTTGACGATGCGTTGCGGCTCTACTATACGACGGCGGAAGTACGAGAGACAAACTACAACCGTCTCGCGGCTATAAATCAACCCGTAAAGAAGCTTACGGCCGAGCACAAAGGCCGCGGTGCGCCCGCCGCAACCGAAGAAGAAGCAGATAACTTATCCGCGGAGATCTACGCCTGTATCGGTGCCCGTATCATGCTTACGACTAACCTTTGGACTGAGATTGGGCTTGTAAACGGATCAATGGGTGTAATTGAAGACGTATCGTGGGATTACGGACGGCAAACGGACCAGCTGCCGTCCGTAATCTTAATACGGTTCGATAGCTATACAGGTCCTAGCTTTCCCGGTTGCCCTATAGGTACCGTGCCAGTCTTCCCTCAAACACGGCAGTTTGACTGTAAAGGTATAGTTTGTTCACGGACGCAGTTCCGTTACGGCTTGGATATGCGATTACGGTCCATAAAAGTCAAGGCTTAACCCTACTACGGACTGTAATGAACTTGAATCAGAGAGAGCACTGCTTAGGATTATCATACGTGGCTGTTTCGCGGGTAAAAACACTTACAGGCCTCTTATTTGAATCCCCGTTTGATTTTGACCGCTTTAAAGGCATAAACTCGATTACGTGTAACGATCGAGAGCTAGATTATATTACTAGGACTGCCCAGATTATACAACGGACCACTTTGAGTGATTACGGGCCGTAAACGTCTCTACCTTTGTCCGTAAGTATCGTTTTATCATTTGTTACTACGAGTTTGTGTTTATACTCGCTCGAATCTTATAGTATTCTTTTGTTACACCCGTAAACAGGACCTTGGATAGGATCTACGGACTAAAAAACCTATTGCTAACTATTATCACACTCGTAAACGGACCTTGAAAAGGATTTACATCTCTGTAGCAGACTAGCTGTCCTCCTCCTCCTCCTCCTCTCCCTCTTCCTCTTCCTCTTCCTCATCCTCATCCTCTAGTACCCTCGCCTCCTCTTCGTAAAGAGCCGCTAGCCCCTATGGAGCTCCGCGAAACGACGTGCCCTCTGAGAGGCTGAGAGGGGCGCCTGTGAGAGGCCAGACCTCGAATAGCTCAAAGGTGTGGTTTCGAATATTCAATTAAGAAGTGCGTGAAGACTACATACATGCAATCTCTTCCTCTATATATAGAGAGAGGAAGAGTTTCTGGAGTCTTCCAAGAAACTGTTTGACAAATACGTGACGTCAAAAGAATAGAGTAGAAAAGTGTAGAAAAGGAGAAACCAATTTAGCAGTGGAGCAATGGCCAATGCTGAGCGGGGACTTTGGTCAGTGCTTAGCGAGGGCATGGCCCGAGCCTCCATCATGGGTTCCAACTCACAGCGCCTTACGGACACAGCCGGTGCGCCGCGCTATTTTATGTTAGTAAGATCTTTTCACGGGCCGTAAATCTAACTTACAGGCAGCACTAGAGCGGACAGCACCAGAACCAGCACCAGCACCAGAGCGGCGGAGAGGGTTGTGAGGAGCGACCTGGGCCACGGCGGCGGGAGCAGGAGCAGCCATAGCAGCAGCGACAGCAGCAGCAACACGAGCAGCGGACGCGATGTTGCCTGGTCCTATCAGTAATGGTTAGCTACGGTCCGTAATAGGTAGGAGAGTTCACTTACGGATGGAGCAGCGGCGTCCTTCACTGCCGTAATGGCAGTTGGCACAGCTTTACCCAAAGAAGCCAGGCACCGACACACACGTACTCCACGCTCCAGACCCACCCGCACAGTGTGTACACCCGGGGGTGTTTACTTGGCCGGTCAATTGACCAAGTAAAGCCTCCAGGTTGGTGGGCCGGGCAGTAGATATTGTACGGCCGGGCCGCAAGGTAGCAGAACGGACCGCAACCAGCCCCGCAAGAGAGATCATAGTCNTCCGTAATAGGTAGGAGAGTTCACTTACGGAGGGAGCAGCGGCGTCCTTCACTGCCGTAATGGCAGTTGGCACAGCTTTGCCCAAAGAAGCCAGGCACCGACACACACGTACTCTACGCTCCAGACCCACCAGCACAGTGTGTACACCCGGGGGTGTTTACTTGGCCGGTCAATTGACCAAGTAAAGCCTCCAGGTTGGTGGGCCGGGCAGTAGATATTGTACGGCCGGGCCGCAAGTTAGCAGAACGGACCGCAACCAGCCCCGCAAGAGAGATCATAGTCTGTGAAGGCCGGTGAGGGAGGGCGAGCAGGGCAGGGAACGGTAGAGAAGCTGCATAAGTAGCAGCAGCAGCAGCAGCGCGGGCGGTGGTGGCGGCGGCGGCGGCGGTGGTATATGTATTCACCATTCTACAGTCCGTAATTGTTAGTTTACGGCCCGTAACGCCTTTTCATATAGTTAGGGTATTAAAGAAGGAGGCTTACGTTCTATTGTTGCTGTTGTTGTTGTTGTTGTTGTAGAGAAGGGAAGGTAAAGGCTAGAAAAATTCAAGACAAATATCTACTACTATTCACTTCACCTTCGACATCAAATGAATGTGTCACGTGACTACAAACGGACGCATCACGGACATCTTATTCAACTTTTTCACTCTTTACGACCCATAACGTATCACAGCTACGCTTTTACTCCTGTGGAATTTACTTCCGCGGCCCCTAGTTATCATTCTTCCAAGTGAAGTGAGGTGCTCATGAGTGCCTGGAGTCTCCACACCCATATCCCTGCATCTCTTGATAGCGCTTTCCCAACATGGTTAGACTGATGTCACGTGGACATCAATACCCCTGCGAAGTATAAAGAGTGGTTGCCGGGGGGTATTGGTATTTTATCGCATCTTCTTCTGTTTGCTTCTACGTGCAGCTCCTCCATCTCCTCCATCTCCTCCATCTCCATTCTCGAACGGTCTTCGTCCTCAACCTGAACCAGAGTGCGATCGCCATCGCAATTGCAATCGCCCCATCAACCTCCAGGCTGACCTGACGTGACGTGACGGTAAGTGCAAAGCAATCTCGTCTGTTTACCACCTTGCATGCCATTGATTCACGTCGCTACTCGAACCCCAATTGCAAGAGGATTTGGAGATAGTTGGTTGCTAAGTGCGATCGCCGTTTCCTGGCGCTCATCCCCACAAAAATTCAACCACGACTCGCAGGCACTATCACTATCACCTTCACCTTCACGCTTTACCCTCTCTTGCTACTTTTTCTCCCCCGTCCCACCCTTCACCCCTAAAATAAAGCTGTGGTGTGTACAATGCAATACGAATACCACCTACAAACCATTATTATACATCTGGCATTGAATGGTCATGCTTCTAGGCAATATGTCTCTAAATTCGAGTTACTAGGAGAACCTCTGCTCGAAAACATCTTTCTCTTCAATGGTTCACAGACCTTCAATTTTCATTGCTAATCACTGCATTTGTAGATTCACAATCATGTCTGGGTCGCCGCCTCATAGGGACCATAGATCTCAGCCCCGAGGATCTGGCTCCAGCAGCTATTATAGAGACAGAGATAGAGGTAGTCTTGACAGTTATGACAGTTACAAGCCACAAAACAATAGTAGCAGTCCACTCCTACCCAATAGAAGAGAGCGTTCGCGTCCTAGGAGAGAACGGTCGCCACCAAGGGCTTCTCGCTATGAACGTTCCAACATCCGTCCTCAGCGAGATAGGCAGTCTGGAGCTGATAGGCGAGACTCACGATCACCTGAGAGACCTCGTCCATCAACCAAAGGTAATCGCACCATCCATTCGCCCCTAGACTTATATGTTATTCACTCGTCATAAAAGAAACCCATATCCTTTGGAACCTTGCTGATCATAATCAGAACCTAATGAGCCTACTCCTCGGACCCCTGTGCCTAGTACAGATGAACCTCAAACTTCAAAAGCTAATCCATTACCGCCGTCTCTCCCAATGAAGCCTTCCATTGCAGGTGAACGTCAAATCCCCAAAACTGGGCCATTGCCACCACTCCTCTCAACAAAGCCTTCTATTGCAGGCGAACGTCAAATTCCCAAACCTGGCCCGCCAACACCAGTTCTTTCAACGAAGACTTCCATCGCAGATATTACCCCTGACGCAATAAAACAAGCTAGCCAAGCATTGTCTTTGACATTAAGCGAAACGCTTGCTCAGCTTTGCAATAGCAATATTGGCATCATGACCTCAATACTGGAAAAGCAGAAGTTTGAACAATCACAGAAAGATGTGAAGAGCCCGTCCTCAAATCCCAAGATCCTTAATCCACATGGAGCCAGATTCCCTGCCATGGAGAGGCGCGCAAAGAAGAATGCAAACGAGAGTGACATGAAGTGGAAATCTATCTGCGCAACTTTAGAGCAGCGCCAAGCTACCTTAAAAAGCGACTGTGAGCGAATTGCTGCCAATGTAGTGCCAAAACTCTTGGCGGCAACTCAGGATTTGCAACCAAAAGCACAAAATGATGATGCCATATACAAAGATGAACTGGAGAATCTCAGCAAGAGATATGATACTTTGGACGCAGAATTGACTGCCCAAAAAGGCTCTTTGGCCAATGTCAACACCATTGCTTCAAATGTTCTCAATGCGTATAAGTCTCAAGACGAAAATTCAAAGTCAAGTGCCGAAAAGCAAAAAAGCGAGCTCTCGGAACTTCGAAGACAACAAAAAGAATCTTTGGAAAAGTCATCTGAGTTTGAGAAACGACTCGTGCGAGCAGAACAAATTATCAGGAATCATTCAACAATTGAGACAAAGATCAATGAAACTGAATCTTCGCTATCTGAGCTCCGGGTTCGGCAGAATCAGGCTGAAGAAGTTGTCTCTAAGCACAAGTCTAAATTTGAAGAACACTTCAAGGATTTCAGCAACTTCAAGCACCAGGCTGGAAAGCAAATTTCGGAACGCAAATCTGCTGGTACTCAGGCTAATGCTCAACAAAGCCTCGACGCGCTTAATGGATTGTCTGGTCGAGTAGATGTCTTAGAGCGCAACCAAGCGGTTAATTCCGCTGCTGTTGAAGGATACTCAACAAGAGTTGATACGCTATTGGACCAAGTCGGCGACCTACTTTCAGGCCAGGGCAGTGATTCTACCAGACTCACAGATCTCTTTGACAAAGTGCAAGGAGTTTCTGCATGGCAGAAGGAGGTCAATCTTAAACTTGCTGCTACGAAAGAGGAGCTTAAGAAACTCGATGCAGAGGTGGCATCAGTGCAAGGGGTTTCTCAGACTGGAGTTTCTACTTGGCAAAGAGAAATCAGTTCTAAGTTTGCAACAGCTGCTACTAAAGAGGACCCCCAGAAGGTTAAGGCAAAGATGACAGGACTGCAAGGGATTTCTACTTGGCAGAGTGAGATCAACTCTAAATTGGCGGCTGTCCCTACCAGAAAGGAGCTCAAGGAAGTTGAGGATAAGGCTGCAGCTACAGCTAAACTCCTAGACAACCTTGCTCACAAAATCTCCACAGAAATACAATCGGTGAAAACTAGTGTCTATTCTTCGGTTGATGGGCAATCTAAAACACTCGATACACTCAAAGGACAGATGGCTTCCCAGGAAAAGAAAGCTAGTCTGAACGATGATTTTCTCCGCATGGAGAACTTCACCAATGAACTTGCGGATGTTAAGAAAGATATCGAGCGTCTCAAGTCTCAATCGCAAGAACGTTCGCAGTCTACAATGGCTCGTGTGCCTACCGAGAATACAATATCACAGAGGCCGAACGCGACTAGCTTCGAAGCTGCTCTGGAGGATGCGAATGATGCGGTACAAGCCCAGTTTGAAGCCTTGGAGAATACCTTCGGGGAAGAGGTTAATAAGCTCAAGGAAACATGTAAGGCGTTGGAGAACGACTTCACCAGGCTGAAAGAGGCCGAAGTGTCTGGGGGAGAGGTTAACAAGCTCAAGGCTACATGCAAGGCGCTAGAGAACGAGATCACTAAGCTGAAAGAGGCCATTTTACCATCTAGCATGCAACTACAGAAACTGGAAGGGCAAATCGATCAGCATGGAAATCAGTTTAATCAGCTGATAGAATCTACGAACCAGCTTAAAGAATCCACTGATTACCTGAGAGATTCATGTCAAGCAAACGGGCACGCCTTTGTGAACCTCGAGAGCCGGTACAATAATCTGACCACGGGGGATATCTACCAGGCCATTGCCCACGCGTTTTCTGAAGACATGTATCCGAAGTTTGCGCAGTTTCCTGAATATGCAAAATATGTAGAACAACTCCATATGCGCACTCTGGCACTAGAATCAGTCCCCACTCGCAGCGTTCTCGATGATCTTTCACTCACAGTTGACCAAATCCGAACACGCCTGGGCGATTTAGAGACAACAACCCAGGAAGGAATCGACCAACATGTCACGAATCACGTGTCCACGTGATACATGTCATAATAGGAGGCGCAACCCTCGACAGTGCACACCCAGGTTTCTTATAATAGGGATCGCTTAGAGTAGCTAAGCGATCCAAGGATTTCCATTGGTTACTGTCACGTGATGGACCCGGATGGATCCAGGAGAGGACGAAGGTTCTATATAAGACTGGCACGTCTACTATTAGATAGGAGCTTCGTGCTCAACTTAGTTATCAATCTTATCATATTTGTTTGACATCTTTGATACAAGTAACGAGTTCACTTNNNNCCATTAGATAGGAGCTTCGTGCTCAACTTAGTTATCAATCTTATCATATTTGTTTGACATCTTTGATACAAGTAACGAGTTCACTGTCACGGTACAAGTGCAAGTCGAGGACAATTGCGACTTGGTTGAATAGATTGATTACAGGGAGAGAAGAGATTCTTAAGGAGATCTATCTTTTAAGTCGGTTGACACTGGTCTGTGCTGGTTTATCCATAATTGTGAATAGCTTCATAAATGAACGCAGGTCACCTAATCTGACTCCTTGACATTCACTTCCAAGTGAACAACCCG